CCGGCTGTCCCCGGGGCCCCTCCAGCTGTCCCCAGCTCCCCCGACCCCCGGGGCCAGCCGGGGGGAGCCGGAGCAGCTGCGGGGTGGAATGGGGCCGGAGGAGCCGCTCTCCCGGCCCCGGGGGTATGCGGGGCGCGGGCTCGGGTGGGGAGCAGCCGCGGGGCGCTCGGGGGTCGCAGCGGGCCCCGGTGGCGGTGACAGTGATGGCGGTGACGGCGGCTCATGCGCAGGCGGGTCCCCGCGTGTCCTCAGATGAGCCCGAGCCCGCAGGGAGCCGCAGCGCGGGGGGCGGGGGCTGCGGCACCGCCGGTGGGGACACGGCACGGGCACGGCGGGGACACGGCACACCGCCCTGGGCACACACCCGCACGCGTGTGTGATGGCACACGCACCTGACACACACCACGCAGTCGTGTGCGTGGCACGCAAACCTCTCACGTCTGTGCACACACACCTGGCTGAGCCACGGCACGCACACACCGCACACGGGCCGCGCCAAACCGTGCCAGCCTTACACCCGCACACAGCAGGCAGCCATGTGCTGGCACAAATGCCTTACACACACTTTACACACACACACACACCCACAGCAGGCAGCCATGTGGTGGCACAAATGCCATATACTCGCTTTACACACACCTTACACACGGAGCTGTGTGACAGCACGCACACCTCACACACGCCCACACACACACGTTGTACTGTGCACACTCCAGCCTGAGCTGTGACACAACGTGCCTACGCCACACCAAGCCTCCTCCCTCCCCACCGTGCTGGTACCTCACACCCCCAGCTCCCCTGAGTCAGGCGATCCCCTCAGGACACCCCACATTCCCTATGTGTGCCTTCAGGACATCCTGCACGTCCCTCTAACACCGCAGGGTGACCACCCCAGCCCTGACCACCAGCTCCACCCTCCAGATCCCCCCACGGCACCCCCAAGGAGCAAGTCGGGCCCGGGCTGGTTTTCATTCACTTTTCCGCATACTTTATTTGTTACAAACATACAATTCTTTAAATATAGACTGTAAAACTCCATTTGCAAAAATCTGCTACGTCAGGAGTGCTCGGAGCAGGAGGAGTTCGTCGCGTCGGCCTCGTCTGCGCTAGTGGTAACACCCAGGACCTGCCTCCGGCCCCTGGAGCCGCCCCGCCGGCCGCAGGGAAGGGACACGGGGGCCCCGGCCCCCCCGGCCGCCTAAAGTGCAGGTTTGCTTTAGTTTTTGTTTTTCTTTCATTAAAAAAATAACAGGAATAAAACTTTCTTTTTTTTTCTCTTTTCGGCAAAGGGACGTCACGGCGAGCGCTCGGGGAGGGAGGTGGCGCTCCCGGGATCTGCTGCTCCGAGAGGATCCGGTGCTCGGAGGAGGATCCAACATTCACAGGATCCAGTTCTCAGAGGATCCAACTCTCCGAGGAGGATCTGCTGCTTGGAGAAGAACCCAGCTCGAAGAGGAGGGTCTAGTGTTTGGAGGATCCAACTCCCAGAGGATCCAGCTCTTGGAGGATCCAACTTGGAGGAGGATCTGGCTCCTGGAGGAGGATCTAGCACTCAGAGAAGGATCTGGAGCTCAGAGGATCCAGCTCTTGGGAGGATCCAGTTCTTGAAGGATCCAGCTCTCGAAGGAGGATCGGGCACTCTGAGGATCCAGCTTTCAGAGGATACAATTCTTGGAGGACCCAGCTGTCAGCAAATCCAACCCTGGGAGCGCCTGGCTCTTGGAGGAGGATCCAGTGCTCTCCCCACCGATGCTGCCCCAGCCCCGTGGCTGGGCTGCCCCGTGCTTGGAGCCGCTCTCAGCCGCTGCTCCGAGGCCAGAGCCCCCCGGGGGCTGCAGGCCGTGCCGTGCCGTGCCGTGCTCCTCCCCGGCCGTCCCGCCCGGATCTGCCTTCTCCCGCCAACGCCCAACGCCCGGCTCGGCGTGGCTCGGCCCCGGCGCCGCTGGCTCTACCGGCTCCGCGAGGATGAGGAGGGCGATGGCCTCGCCCTGCAGGAACATCTGGGAGCATCCACGGAGCCCGCTGGGATTTCCCACTGGGAATACCTGCTGAGCTCCGTGGTGCACCACCCTGCATAACCCCAGTGCTCCCTCAGCTGCTTTGTTAAAATCTTTTCCAGTTTTTTTGCGATTTTTTTTTTCCACTTTTTGCTTTTTTTATGAGGTCAGTGAGGGGCCTGGCTGGTTTTGTCACCAATGTGAGGAGCCGCCACTGGCACGGCCCCCCAAACCACCCCCCACTGCCCCCAAATCGCCTGGAAACAAGGCAGGAGAATCCAAATTTTCTTCCGTATTTTTTAGGGCAAAAAGAACTGAAGCTGTTTGAACTTGCCCTGGAAGCACCACCCGCTCCAGACCCAGCCATTTGGGGTATTTTCCAGTGGGTTTTGGGGCATTGTACAAGACTTGCAATATTCTGTCTGTACAGCCATCATCGCGTTCTCCATCAGCCCCTCTGGGGCGGCAAAGCTGGAAGTACCAGGAATTTGGGATATTTTTCCCCCTATTTGTGGATTAAAAATAAAATTTAAAAAAAAAAAAAAAAAAAAAACAACCCAAAAAACAATTTGCCCATTTTCTACAGAATTCAACCCAAAACCCAACCGAATCTGAGCTATGTACACACAGCCATGTCTATACACACAGAGATGGGAAGGGGGTTCAGGGGAGATGCCGGCGTTGTCCCGCTTTCCTGGGAAACACCCAACGCCTCCTGGGGGGCTCCAAGAGAAAAAAACAACCCAAAACTGCCCCCCAAGATCCCCTCCCCCATGGCCGCTCCCCTCGCTCCAGCTGGCACCTCAAATCCCCTTTTTTCCCTATTTTATCTCATTTTGGCTGTTTTTTCCGCTGTCTTCCCCCGACGTGCTCTGCTCTTCCCACCCAAATGGAGCTGTGGGAGGTTGTGTCCATGGATCCAACGCTTCTCTGGCCAGGAAAGGCTCCCTGAGCCAACGCCGGGAGCTGCTTTTTTGGGTTTATTACTGGATTTTGGTGGTTTTGCCTTTTTTGTTTTTTTTTTTTCCTCTTCCATGTATTCCTAGCCAGCTCCCCAGAGCTGGGCCGGGCCGGCAGCGATTCCGCTGCTCTCCCAGAGTAGAAATAAGGCTAAATCACCGCAATTCAGCCAAAAGAAAGAAACCCAAAGGAATATATATATATTTTTATATATATATATATATATATATATATCTCATCCTCTTCAAAAATAAAAGGAGAGGTCCCGCGGCTGGACGCCGGTGAGTCCCGCGGAGCTGGGAGCGTTTTTCCCCCCAAATCCGTCGTCGCCGTCGTGGTTTATGGTTTTTCTCCGTGGCAAAGAACACAGGACCAGGAGGATGGGTGGATACAGCAGGAATTCACCGGAAAGAGCTGCCTGAGGGTACAAAATACAGTACAGGACACATCGGCCATCGAGGAAGGACTATTGCTCCCGAGTGAGTGAGTGAGGGATCCGGGTCCTTTGCGACGGAGAAGGCTTAAAAACGGGATAAACGGAAGAAATTCGCTTTTAAAAATCCCTTTAAAAAGAGCGACGGCAGCGGGAGCAGCGGGAGGGGGCCGGGGGCCGGACGGACGGACGGATGGACAGCGGCGTGGGGGGTCCCCCAGGGGTCTGCAGCTGTTCCTCACTTCCCAATAAATATGGAGAGAGGGAGATGCCGGATCCGTGGTAATAAATTAAGGAGGCAGCTGATTGGGCTCCCAAAAATGGATTAAAAGGAAAAAAAAAAAGAAAAGTCCTACAAGTGGTGAAACCGTTGGAGAAGAAGAGGCAAAACTTTGGAATGAGAGCGATGGAGTTCAGAGTTATGGGAAAACGGGGTGAAAAACCGGAATTCTGTACAGGGCAGGACTGAGCTGAGGGAGTGAAAAAGAATTAAAAAAAAAAAAGACTATTTGAGAGTGGAAAAATGTGTTTAATAGGAGGTGGCTGGAGGGACCAGGCGGCGCCAGGGCCGGGCCCAGGGGGGCAAAAAAAGACAAAAGGAGGCAAAAAATAACAATAAACCTCCAAAATCCACCCCCAAGGTGCCGGGGCCGGGCGTGGCCACGGATTTGGGGCCGGAAAATCCAATTTGGGTGAAGCCAAGGGGCGGATTCCGGCGGGTCCTGGTGAAACGGGGCCGGAGGCGCCTTATTTGGAGAGAAGGGGAAGATGGTTCGCCCCGTCGAGTTTTTCCTTGTGCTTTGTGCCGGCGCCTCCCCCTTCCCGGCGGGAAACGGGGAGGGGGGGAAAAACGGTCAGAAATCGGCAAAACCGAGGAAATCTTCCCTAATTGTCAGGGAGCCGCCAGCTCGGGGCGGGTTCCAGTTCGGGCGCCTGGAGTTTGCATCCCGGAAAAAAAAAAAAAAAAAAAAAAAAAAAAAAAAAACAAAAAAAAAAACCCCCCAAAAAAAAGATTT